GTTACAACTTTCAGATTTTCCTGACCCTTGTTAATACTTCCTGAATTTCACAGCATGGACAGCTTGATCTTGATCTTGAGGAATTACTTTTTCAGTAGCTTCACTAGTTTCCATTGACCGACAAATCTTTATTGCTTCGGCCAGTTTTAAATCAGATTCCTGCGAAAGTCTTTCCTGGATTCTGCTATCTTTAATACCCAAAACAAGTCTATCTTGAATCAACACATCAGTTTCCTTGAATTCGCAAGTTGAAGCAAGCTGTCTCAGAGCTACGACAAGTTGGTCTACAGTCTCTGTTTGTTGTTGGTGCCTTCTGAAGAACTTGAAGTGTTCGTAGTAAACAAGGTTTTCAACAGGGTTACAATACGCATCAAACTTTTCCAAAACAGTAAAAACCTTAGTTTTATCCTCCTGTTACAGAGTATTCAAAAGTATTATGAATTTGGAGTCCCCGATCTCCAATTGAATTAAGTAAGATTGCGATTTTCCGCTTGCTAAATAGTATATTACATTACAAGTATAGAAAGTGACAAATTTCACACGAGTGTTTTGAGTGTATGAAAGACGCTTTCTCACGAGTGATGTTTGGTGATGTACACCATTTTTCCTACGACCAGAAACCGATTTACACCAATTTTCTCTTTTTATTTCTTTTCATTTTCAACACACGTGCTGAAAGTATTTTCCACTTTCAACCCAGTATTGAAAGTAAATTGTCAATGTCAATCACAAATAATGTCAACAGTATTTTCCACGCGTGTGCTGAAAGTACTTTTATCGCGTGTATTGAAATTACTTTCAAAGAACCAACTAGTGCGGATTTTGTCATTTTCATATGTGGTCGTAGGAAAATAGAGTTTTCGAACTTCTGCTTCCATAATTTCCAGTGTGAAGTTAAATCACCTGAGAAGCTGAGTTCATTGGGTGTCCTACTGTCCGACATTGTTCTCCTGCTTTTTCCTACAGCTTAGTATAGTTTTTCCAAAGTCAATTGGAACAAGGTGAACATAAATCATAACTGGTGGCTGACTAGTGGCAATGCATTTCTTATCGAAACTTTCGGTGACTAGTCAGCCACCAGTTGGTACCTTGTTCCAATTGAATTTGGAAATACTATACGGTTGTACAGGGTGGCTCAAATTCGAGCCTCATCATTGGTATCTCGGTAACCGTAAGAGATACGGGGTCGGTTAAATTATGGAAAAGTTGCGCAATTTTATGACCAATAGAATGCCGTTTTAAAAATTTTAAAAAGATTCCGAATACTTCCAGAGATATTTTCGGAAAAAAAATTAAATTTCGTAAAATCGTTTTTATTTTTTCCTGAGCTTATTTGAAGAGCAATTTTAAAATAAATGTCACTTCATCATTGTCACTTTTTCCCCTTTAGAAGATGGTGCTACTAAATTTAAAATTCGACGTTTCGTCTTCAGGCGGCCATCCTCAACTTCCTTTTTTAAATATGGACCTGGATTTTTTATTTGCGATTTTGTCATCTTTGGGCATCCTAAAACCGATACTGTTTATAATTTTTCAATACCACGTTAAAAACGTATTAAAAAAAAATAAATTGATGATGATTCCAGAGGAACGAAACGTTGGATTTCAAATTCAATACCGCCATTTTAAAGAGAAGAAAAAGTGACAATGGGAATGTGAAATTAGTTTTTCAAAATCTTTTTAAATGGAATCAGGAAAAAAAATAAGAAAAACGAAGAATTTATGTTTTTTTCGTATAGTTTTGATTTTTTCCTGATTTTATTTGAGAAGATTTTGAAAAACTAATTTCACATTCGCATTGTCACTTTTTCTCCTCTACAAGATGGCGGTATTAAATTTAAAATCCAACGTTTCGTTCGTCTGGAATCATCATCAATTTATTTTTTTTTAAATATGGACCTGCTTTTTTTTCTGTGTTAGTGAAAAATTATAAACAGTATCGGTTTTAGGATGCCCAAAGATGACAAAATCGTAAATAAAAAATCCAGGTCCGTATTAAAAAAAAGGAAGTTGAGGATGGCCGCCTGAAGACGAAAAAACGGTTTTTTCCGAAAATCTCCGGAAGTATTCGGAATCTTTCTAGTTTCAAAACGGCATTCTATTGGTCATAGAATTGCGCAACTTTGCCATAATTTAACCGACCCTGTATCTCTTACGGTTACTGAGATCCAATGATGAGGCTCGAATTTGGGCCACCCTGTACACTTTTGCACAGATATCCTGGGACTTGCACAGATGTCTTGAGTTTGTATTTCACAATAGCTGTCGTGGTAAAGCTCCAGCTTACAGCTCCAGCACTTAATCAAGCCTGTCGTCTTTTCCACAACTGCCACTATGTAATGTTTAGTTGAGTTAAACCAAAATTAAATAAAAACAGGCAGAGAATTATCTAGTTTTATATTTAATAAATAGCTCTTAACGGCTTGACTGAACTCCGCTTCGCGTCGTTCGGTCAACTGCCGTTGCGTGCGGTAAAGTATCACTTTCCGCATTTGTTAGGTAAATTCTATGTATCTTGCACCCATAACAGACAGGGAAATCTTAAAAGAAATAACCGGCCTTAAAAACAATACTGCATGTGGGGAAGCTGAGGTATCTGCAGAAATGATCAAAAATCACAAAGAAAAACTAACTAAGCCACTAATGCACTTAATAAATACCATTTTCCAAACAGGAACATTTTCCTCAATTTTTAGAAGTGCTGTTGTAGTACCTGTTTTTAAGGCTGGAGACAGGTTAAATGTTAGCAATTACCGACCTATAGCTTTAACTAGTGTCTTGGCTAGGCTTGTTGAAAGGTGCATTAAGGAGAGATTGTGGAGCTACCTTGAAAAATTTAATATTATATCCAAAAATCAATTTGGTTTTAGGAAGGGATATGGAACCAATGATGCAATTGACAAGGTTAGCAATCATGTCGTTTCTTCTTTAAATGAGGGCTCCAAGCCTTTGGCAATCTTCCTAGACTTGTCAAAGGCCTTCGATACTGTGGACCATCGAATTATGATGTCCAAGCTGGAGTGTATCGGTGTTAGAGGTATTGTTCTCAAACTTTTCCAATCATACTTGAGCGACAGAGTATAAAAAGTAAAAATAGGAGACAACTTTAGTAAGGAGGAGGTAGTGGAGTTTGGTGTTCCGCAAGGTACAGTTTTGGGCCCATTACTCTTCCTAATATATGTGAACTCTCACAAACACTCTAGATTATAGAGCTAAAATCTTGTGTTATGCTGATGATACGGCAGTACCTACTTATAAAGGCTGATACCTGGCAAGAATCTCTGGAAATAGCCGAAAAGAGCATGACTATAATAAAACACTGGATGGACAGCAATCTCTTAACGTTGAATGTTCAAAAATCTTTTTATATACCATTCTCTATAAACAATGTAAATATTTCTACTTGTAGCATTGATTTCCACAACCGTACATGTACAGATATCTCAAACTGCAAATGCAGCAACAGTATAGCACAAAAAGACAATATCAAATATTTAGGTGTCTATTTTGACCAGCGTATGAGGTGGCATGTACATGTGGATCACATTTTGTCTCACAAAAAACAATAAGACAAATTTATCAAGTTCTTGTGCAGCCCATCTTAAATTATGGCATCGCCTCCTGGGGTGCTGCATGTAGCAATGTTTTGGCCTCTTTGTTTGTGTCTCAAAAGTATATACTTAAAGTAATGCTATTTGAAAAAAGGTTATACAGTTCTGAAATGCTCTTCAAGGATGCAGGTTTGCTGAACATAAGACAGTTGTATATTGAAGATATTATCAAGAAATACTATAAAAATAAAATTATTTTACCTTATGTAAATCACGAAAAAGAAACTCGATCAATTGCAAATAATTCCATGGCTCTTCCACAAACAAATTTCGCAGCTACTCAAAGACACTACACATATACTCTTCCTAAAATAATCAATTTACTACCCATTAACTATAGAACTCTATCATATAATAAAATTAAGGAGGAACTAAAGGTTTGGATAGTTCGGAATTACGCAGTCATCGTCTCAAATATTCGTTGGTTTCGGGCATAGGCTTCGATACTGTTGTGTATTAAGTACCTAATAAGGATTATTTTTGCTATTTGTGTATAACACAATTAATGTATTTTATTTTTATCGTAATGTTATTCTATTGTTTATTTAATGTTCTAAGTAGTGAATAGTTTTTATATTTGTTTATTTATTTATTTGGTGCACACACAAATTCCTTGAGAATTCATTGTGCACTCTAAACATGTACTAACCTAGAGGATTACTCTATTGTAATAAGTTTTTTTTTCTTTTTTTGTAACATTTCAAATACGTAATATAGTACTTCACCTTCAAAAAAAAAATAACTAATTTTATTGCAGGCATGCCAGGCATCACATTATCAAGCAAGACATGATACATACCGATAACATAAAGCCACAAATTTGAAAAAATATACCACACCTTCAAGCCCTAGTATCTAAAGTCACATTTTCAATGCAAAAAAAGGACAGCAAAGGCTTTTTTAATATCAAATTTTATTCTTGTGGGTATTTATGCACTTTTGCGAAGAAACTAAAACAATTTATTAAACTTTTTCGTTTACTTCACGTACTAGTGCGTGAAGTCTAATTTCACGTCTTTTGAAGAGTGCGTAAAGTAAGTAGGTACTTTACGCCCGGTAGATAAAAAAAATAAATAAAAAACAACTGGATTTGGATGAAATCCTGGCTAAGGAGTGTTACGGGGTTAGGGGTCATATTGCTTCAGCTAATTAAGACAAAGACATTTCTGACTTACCGAAACGTTGCGGTGCTCAAGAAAAAAGAGTTTTGTTTCTCCAATTGTAATGAAAGCTTCTTTATTTTCTTTATTCGTGTTTTTATATTGTTTTTACAAATAGATGATTCAAATTATTTGCTACGATTCTTGATTTAAGGTTGATTATTGTAAATCCTCTGTTGGTTGTTTTTGTATGCAATATTCCAATAAAACTTGGAAATATTAATTTTAGAGGAAAAATGGAAAGCAAGAAGAAAACATTTTCTAAAAGGTTTCAAACCCATTATTTTGAGAAGTTTTATGGGCACATTTTATAAATATAGTTGCAAATTGCTAGAAGAACTCGAAGGATTGGATGGGGCTTTAGTATCATTCGATGTCTTGCACACGTTCGCCTTCACAACGTTTTGTGGTATGTAAGAATGAAATGTTTTGGATAATTATTTTGTTAAATGTTCTGCTTTTCAGCTACTGCCCTTGGATTGAATGTAAATAAATTTGCTAATGAACTAGCAGAATTTGGAAATTTAAGAGCAAAGTAAGTGAGTGATAGCGGTTATTGTTTAAAATAGTAGATTTGCGATTGCAAATATACTTATATCTTATATTCATAGTCACTCCAGCTGGCTACCGCGTTTCCTGATTAAGACTGTGGCGGTGGCTTTGGTTCTGGCAATTGCTGAACTGTAGTCCATCGGGCTGAGATGACAATGGGATATAAGTGTTAGCTATTGCTGAAAACGAAAGTTGTCTTTATCTATTTTTACTCACGGATGAATTTTCTGAATAATGTTCTTTGTTCTTAACAAACAATTTTTTTTGTAGAATTGAAGAAGCTTTAACTGCAAAAGTCATAAACCCATTCATTCCATATTCAATATGGATAAATTTCTTTCCGAATGGCAGAAAAACTGCAGTGTATATGGAAAGAAGCAAAATAATTATAGAAAAAATTATTAGAGAGAGAAAAATCGAGTTAGAAAAAAATCAAGGTATATAAGTATGTTTTCTAAGTTAGGTGATACTAATTATGTATCTGTATATTTTTAGACTATATAGCAAATAGTAATGAAGTACCTTTGTTAGACTTAATTCTCAGCTATGACCAAAAAATCACGACCGATGAACAAATATTTGAAGAAATGGTTTTATTCACTAGTGCAGTATGAAATAGAGTTTGTAATTTTTTTTAGTTGGAATTTGCAGCCTTTGTATTTTAGGCAGTTGAAACCAGTTCGTTTGTATTATACCTTGGCTTCACCATTTTGGCCATGCATCCAGATATTCAGGTAGGTGATACAATTCTTGTGTCAGATTCGTTTCGTAATACCTAGTAACTTTAAGGAAGTTCTTTATAACGAAGTAATCACACAAATTGGGGATAGAGAAATTTCATCTAATAATATTGGCTACCTAAAGTACACCGAAGCAACTATTTGTGAAATAATGAGGTTTGTACCAATTTTGCCTTTCATAGCACGCATTACAGGAGAGGACATTGATGTAGGTAAGGAAACGGTAACTCCCCATGTTTTTTATCTTTTTTTTTAATATGTGGTTAATTCCAGGCAATAATAAAGTTATTCCCAAAGGAGTAGATTTCGTAGTGGACATTTGGCATCTTCACAGGGTTCCAGAGTACTGGAAGAATCCAGAAAAATTCGATCCAACAAGATTTCTACCAGAAAATCTAGACAAAATTAAACCATTTAGTTATCTGCCATTTTCTCAAGGACCTAGAGATTGTATAGGTAAAACCACATATAATTTATTTATTAGCTTTTAGACATGAATTACGTATGGACAACACGATACTTCGTTTTTAAAAAAATAATTTTTATTACTAAAACAAAAATGTTAAAATACGAGTAAAAATATAATGGTTACAATACGTTCTTAACATTAAGAAAGCGTAGCTCTGACTAACTGTTGTGAGAGCGAAATAAGCTTAAATGAATATAATATGCTGCGTAAGCTAAAGTAGAATAAAATATATAGTAATATTGTCTTTAAGAGGGGCTCATCTAACTCATGCGAAGTTTCACTATTGATTGGCATAGGTACTCAGATACTCAAATCATTCAATTCCAATGAACTATAAACTACACGTATCTGGAATGGCACCGACCGTTGTCGGATATGGCATTTGTATGGCATTTGTCATCTCGCTTAGTGCGTCCAAAATAACTACATAGTGGGGGGTACCTTTCTCTCTCTAGTTCATTCCTGTTAGGTTTGGCTTTTTGTTTGGTATAATCCTTACGTTAATTATAATAATTTTTAGACAAGGAAAGATTTCCATAAAACGCCAATAAGATAAATAGAGAAAGGAATCCCCCACATTCTCCATCTCAATTTGCCGCAAATTTGTAGATCGGCGGGTCATTCCAGGTATGTGTAGTTTATAGTTCATTGTTCAATTCAGTTCGTGTACTATTTTTTCGCATGGGATCAAATAATATAAATGTTACCTACCTTTAACCATTCAGTTTTCGGACTTCGAAAAAAAAATTTAGCTAGGTATTTCTAATTTTCTATAAATAGTACCTACTACTATACTTACTCACATTATGTAAAATTTCACTGGCTCGTTATAGTGACACTTGAATGATAGGTAATTTATAAAAACAGAAGAGTCCGCGGTTCAATTCATTTTATTGCCAAAGTGGATGCCAAAAAGTTCAGAGGTGGGCCATCCTATGGATTTTTTTCTCAAATGTACTAAATTTGGCACAAAAGTGCATACTGGCTGAAACTTCCGAGTCTTTTTCCTCCATTAGTCAAAGGAGTATGATAAGTGAGATTGAGACCCACTGTGAGAATTATTAAATTAAAGCCCTAATGGTGATGCTATGATAGAATAACAGTTTACCACAATAATTCATATGCAAAATAAAAAAAGTACCTATACCTATATTAAATTATAATGTAAGATTGAATAAGTTAGGTAATTACCTACTGCTGAATATTGTAAACTTTTCATTATCGGAAATTTCCTTATTCATTTTTCAGGAAAGCATCATGCAATGGCGCTACTAAAGATAACCTATGCAAACGTTATAAGAAACTTCAAAATCGCTACAAAACACAAATCTGTTGATGAATTCGATTTATGTTCTTCGGTCACATTATATTCGCCAGAACCTATGGATCTACATTTTGTTGCAAGAACAAAATCTTAATAGAACTAGATGGGGCAGAAATTGTCTTATCGTTGCTCAAATATTATTGGATTTATATAAAATTTAAGTAAATTATTTTATGAGTTTAGGTACTCTTAACTTTGTTTCAATGGGGTAGTATACTATGTATGAAAAAAAGTAAAAAAATTGCTCGGCATTTTTCTATATGCTAAATGGTGATGGTATAGTGGGATACTAAATTATTTTCCAGCATAGTGTCTATAGAATTTGTCAGAGAAAAACAAACTGTAATTTGAATTTAGCGCCACAGCGGCGACCAATAGTATTCGAACCACTGACCATCTGGCAACACTGCTCAAAATACCTCTAAACGACAGCTGACTCCAACAGCTCAACGACCTGTGGTGTCGTGTGACATGTGACATTGTCAAAGCTTGTTTACATGGTTTGATGTAGTAAATTTGACGTTTCGTTCTTGACGGTCAATGTCAGTGCAAATTGTGCGTTCTTAAAACCGTGATGTGTTGCTAGATTGGAAAAACCAACTACGTTACGAACTTTTCTTTTCACGTAGGGGCGGGGCTAGGAGGAAATTTAGAAAACATAATTCCAGTGTATTGCGGTTTTTACAAAGCAACTGATTACACTAAATGGTACGATACGTCGAGTATATCACTACGCCGTAGTTAAAAATCACTTGTATACTACCCCATTGTGGAATATCAAAAGCCTTAACTATACTTTTGAAGCCACATATATAAATATTATACCAAGATGTGTGGTTTTATTATTAAATTATATTATCTAGATTTAGGTACTGAAATATGGAAATGGATACATAGGAATTCGTTTGCATCGAAATAGATTTAATTTGCCCCTTTCTACCTTTGCGACGATATTCCTCTAATAGAAGCGCCGGGGTTATCAATTTAAAATTAAAATGAGAATCGAAAACAGTGTCTAATGAGTTCATATAAGTTGTCCTAATAAAATAATACTAAAAATAGAGAACTATGTTTTTAAATCAATAAAATTAGAGATTAATAATAAATTAATTGATTATGAATGGAACTAATTGGTAAATGCGCCATAAAAGCCCTCTAGAAACCCTTTATAATGCCTGCCTCTTTCGAGGAAGAATAATGAAAGAATTCCATAATGATAATCTTGCATGAAAAGGGAGACATAACAGCCAGATTTAGAAGCGACTTTCGAACAAATGACCACCTACAAGTAATGAAAACCTTTATACAGAAAGTTGTAGAATACAACAAACTGAACAAACCATTGATATTATTATTTGTGGATTTTGAGAAAGCTTTTCGCTCATTCCAGCATAGCTGCATGTTAAAGTCTCTTACAGAGTGCAATTTTGACCATAGGTAAATTATATTTTCGATTCAGAAACTTGTATTTTAAAAAACATTTATTTTATCGATTAAAATACAGAGGTGACAAAAGAAAATAGGTGGATCAAATTGCTACAGCAAAACCCTGAAAACAAATGAACGTTCCTTATGGGACTGCGCTGGCTTAAATAAGAATTTAATGCCGATATAGCAATTTGATGTTTACTTTACAACAGTATATTTAAAAAGTCATAGAGGGGTACCTAAGCACATTAAAGCATATAAAAAATAGATATTTGATTATAAATCAGCGTCGCAATTGGTTAATATAACTCCTCCCTCCTTAAGATGTTGCAAACGTGGACTGTTGTGAATTCAAATTAGACAATTCAATTTGCACATTTGCACAACCTTGTTCTGAAGTTTTAAACTTCGTAAAACAGAAAAACAATAAAATTATAAATAAAATAGCAAGACTTAAATCTATGATTACATATGTGTTCAAATAGGAGTTTTCAAAAGACAATTCTTTTAGATTATGAACTCTTATCTGTTTCGTCGTCTTGAAGGCTTCTTCTAAGTCTTCTTGGTTGATTTCTTGAAGTTCCAATGTTGTTTCGTTCTCTGGAAGTTCAGGGATGTCTATTTTTGGAATCTTCAGTTCAAAATTGAAGTTCTCGCTGGTTTTTGAAAATGTTTGATTTTGTATTCTCACAAAGCATTTTTCAAAAGAAACTAGCGTTGGATTGGTTATAATTTCCATATGGTTTTCTTGTCACATGGAATAACTATCGTCAGACTTTTCTTAGGGATGACTAATAGTTATCCATTCGGGAGTTGTCTCACTGTTGGTTTTGCATATTTCACTTTAGTGAAAGGACATTGTTGTGGTAGGTCAGTAATCAGGTCATAGACACATGATTCTTCTTGCTTCAGCTCTTCTTGGTTACAAAGATACATATTTTCAACTTTCGGGCATTCCCATAAAGTATTGTAGTAAATGTCCGTAGTAAGTAATTAGGTAAGGGTACTTATTCCTAATGGTAAGTTCTTGGATAGGAATTGGATAGATTTTTTACAATATAAAGGGCTCGGAATCAATCATTGGTGTGTGTATAACACATATAATTAATTAACTCATTTTGGATTTTTACTTGAGTCTTCATTGTCTCGTTATACTTGATTTTATTATCAAAAGGTATTTGCTGACTTTTGGGTATATTTGTTAATATTTTATTTAATTCATCATGCTGTAAAATAGTATAATGCATTATTCACAATTGTGCAAAATTTATTGCTAATTGCACATGATCAATAAGATTCTTTATTTTATTACTTTAAATATTGATATTGTTCAATATTAGATTAAAGGTTAACATTGAATGAAAATTTTGGTTTTCCCAGTAAATATTTTGTAATTTTCCTGTGATAACCTTTTGGTTAGATTCAATAGTTAGAAATTGATCGTGAAATGTTTTTGTAACTTGTTTTAATACTTGAGCTTGTGTTTTTAGATCTTCATTGAGAGTCTTTTGATTATCATTGAGCGTCTGGATATAAGAATCATATCTTGCGCCGTCTTCAGCACCTAGGGTTCCGTAGAGCCATTTTTGTGCTGTGCCCATGAAATTTAATAGACCTCTTTTGTTTCGTTTTCGATCTTGGTAGGTACTTGTTTCATAATCTTAATTTGAGAATGACTGTTTTCAATATTTGTTTGAAACAGTGCAACAAATTGGTTTGACCATGCTGTTTTGTTTAGAGTGTCAGATAATTTCATTAGGGTAATTTCCAGTTTATGGATACTTTGTATGATAATTGTCGTGTTTATGTGATAATAGGCTGTGTTACGTTAAGTTGTTACGTAAGTAGTTCCTAAAGAAATTGGTAAAATAGGATTTTCTACCGTCATCAATGTATACGCTTGGGTGACTCCAACAAGAGTAAAGAATACTGAAGGATTCATCTCGGAGTACCTGAAATAAATTATTGTCGTTTAACATTTTGTTTAGCAAAGCGATTCTGTGTTTTGCTATCATAACGCGGACTTATCTTGTCTCTATTAAATTGTTTGAAAAAGATTGGATCTTGTAATTCTGGTTCGGGTTCACGATTTTTATTGCGTGATTCTAAAGACTTTGTTTGTTTCGCTGCCAAACTTGTTATATAGTCAGTTGTTAGTTTATTTTCTGTTTGTTCAATTGGTATAGCATAATTCGAATCTCCTTTAATCACTTGAAAAGGTGTGTGATTCATTTTACTATGAGTAGGTACTGTTGTTATAATTCAATATAGCGATTGTCATTAGATCAATAATACTCTTATTCGGGGTTTGGAGTTTTAAACTCGTTATACTTTCACGTAGTGTCGAATGGAATCTTTCGATTGGACTATTCGAGTTCGGATTTCTTGGAGTTGTATAATGAAACTCAATTTTGTATAATGTACAAAAATCTGACGTTATAGCATTTTTGAACTCTGCTTCATTATCTGATGTGATTTTTTGGGGTATTCCATGATCACTAAAATATTTCAATAATTGTGATGATATCTCTACAGCTGTTTTCGTATTTACAGGAGAGGCTTGACCAAATTTTGAAAAGCTATCAATAATGGTCAGAAATTTCTGGTTATTGATTATATATGTGTCAATATAAATATGTTCGAAGGGTTTCGTACCAATGGGTGTTGGTTTGAATATGATTTTGTATGGTTGACGTTCATACTTGGTTTTATTGCATATCTCGCATACTTTGACATAATTCTGTACGTCTTTCTGGATATTTTGCCAATAGAATCTTTCCTTTAAGGCTGCAACATTTTCAGTGATTCCTCTATGAGAGGTTTTAGTCTCATGATATTGCTGAATTTTCTCTTGTTGAAGACCAACTTCTGTGATGTCTTCTAATAAAGAGTTCGAGATGTAAAAAGTAAATGAATTCGAATTAAACGATTCTTGTAATGCTCGTATCACAATAGGTTCTAAAGATTTATTTAGGAAATGAAGGCAATAAATACCAGGTGGCATGCATTCCTTTACCAGATTAGTAATTTGTGATGTTGGATTATTTGGTGAGAAAAATATTATTCTCTTTTTATTACCAAATAGTTTGATTATATCTTTTCTTATTGTGTTATTATTCGAATATCGAAATACAATTTGATTTCCAAATATATTTACATGTATCTTAGTATATGGAGCTCCTAATATTGGATTTTCCATAGACGTATGTATTGTTTGGTCATTGGACATTTTCAGACAAGGCTGAAATTGTTGACATTGTTCGTTCGTCATCCGAAGGTGTTATTTGTCTTTTACTTTTTTGAGTTTTTGAAGATTATCCTATTTCGATAGGAATTTCTTTTTTCTCTTTTCGTGGAGGTATTATTAGTTGGGATAATATTTTTATTTTAGGTCTTTCTTTCTTAGGTTCCTCTTCAGGTTCTTTTTCTGATGCTGTCTTTGTTGATTGAGATGATTCAGACATTGCTATCTCTTTTTCTTTAGCTTTCTAGCTTTTTTTAGGAAGATATACTTTAGAGTCTGTAAAGTATTTTGCTATGATTTTATCATTACATAATGGTGTATCTTTCAGCATCCTAATTTTTTGTGAAATTATTCATCTAAAGATGATAATCTGGCATCTGAATCTGATTTGTGAATGACATGAAGTTGTATTGCAGGAATTCTTGATAGTGCGTCTGCATTCATGCATAATGTTCCCTTTTTGTATTTGATCTCATAATCAAATTCGGATAATTTTAGTCGCCATCTGACTAATTTATAACTTGGTTCTCTAACATTAAATAGCCATTGTAAAGGTTTATGATCTGACAAGATTGTGAATTTTCTACCAAAAAGATAAGGTCGAAAATATTTTGTTGCCCATGCGATTGCTAAAAGTTCTTTTTCAATCGTCGAATAATTACATTCAGCTGGGTTTAAGCATCTAGAAAGGTGCATATGCAATGGGAAGATCAGCTCTGACAGGACCTTGAGATAAAACAGCTCCAATTGCATAGTTTGAGGCATCTATTGTCAATAAGAAAGGTTTCTTAAAGTCAGGATGTTGTAATATAGGGTCATTTATCAATACATTTTTACAAGTTTCAAAGCTATTAAGAAATTCTGCATTATGTATTATTTTTTTGTGTTTTTCCAAACAAGATGTCATTGATTTGGTCAATTTGGCAAAGTTCTTTATGAATTTTCGGTAATAACCTACTAATCCTAAAAATGATTTTTTCTACTACCGTGCGTAAAGTACTCACTTTACGCACTATTCAGAAGACGTAAAATTGCACTTCACGCACTAGTGCGTAAAGTAATTCACTTCACACACTAGTGCGTAAAGTAATGTCAATGACAGATTTTGTCACTGTCAATTTGGCATTTTTCTGATAAATTACTTCACGCACTAGTGCGTAAAGTGAAAATTCTTTACGCACTAGTGCGTAAAGCATTTGTCTAAATTTATTTATTACACATATTTGATTGGTAGTAGAAAAAAATTTGTATGCAATTCGTGCGTAAAGCACCTTTTTTCACTCATGTGATTGTCGCACTCGCCTACGGCTCGTGCGTCAAAAAAAAAGGTTCACTTTACACACTTGTTGCATAAATAACTATTATTTTCTAAGACGGTGATTTGGTATTGGGATTTTTTTTATTGCCATTATCTTTTTTGGATTCGGTTTTATTCCATTTGGTGTAATTACGTGTCCTAGGAATTCAACTGTCTTAAGTATATAGGAATTCTGATTTGTCTAATTGTATTTTTAAATTGAAATTCTCGAGTCTTTCTTTAAATCCTTCACGTGTTCATGAAGTGAAGTGGAAAATAGTATATTATGATATTAGTGTATAAGAGGGCATTTAAAGCACGCGCGACATATTTCAAAACACGACGCGCAGCGGAGTGTTTTGTAAGTCGCAAGGGCTTTAAATGCCCTCTTATACACGCATATCATACGCTATTTTTTATTACGAATGCATCATAATCTCAAAAATGTTTTAAAAGTGTTCATTCATTTTGATAAGTAGTAATTTAAATGGCATGTATGCAGGTAAATATCTAGGTAATGAAGGTAGATCGAACGTTTCTATAGCAAACCTTTGAAAAGGTAGACGCATCATAAACATCATTTTATGCACGCTGCAGCGTGCGATAATCGTTGATTATGATGCATGCGTAATAAAAAAATTATTATATCATCCATGTATACTAGACATATTATATTCTGTAATCCTAGTAATACATTATCCATCACTCTTTGGAATGTCGCGGGAGCGTTTTTTAATGCAAAGGGCATTCTGTTAAATTCGTAGTGACCATTTTCAACATTAAATGCTGTTGTGGGTATCGAATTTTCATGCATCTCGACTTGATGAAAGCCAGAGGCTAAATCTAGTGTCGTAAAATAATTACTACACCCGAGTCGGTCTAATATATCAGTGATATTAGGTAATGGATATCTATTATCAATAATTTTTTCGTTTATCTTTCGATAATCAACGAGCATTCTCCATTTTTGTATGCCTGCGGCATCTTCTTTCTTAGGTACTATCCACACAGGGGATAACCAGAGACTACAGGATGGTCTGATTATGTTATCTTCTAACATTTTCTTTATTTGAGAATTTACTTCTTGTTTATGCACATGAGGATATCTATATGTTTTCGTGTGCTTTCATCTGTTGTTTTAATCTCATGTTTGACTTGATTGGTAAATGTCAATTTTTCATTTGGCTTGTAGAAAATTTTAGGATAAGATTTAATTACGTGTTTCAAAGCATCAAATTCCTCTGAGTTCAAATGATTAATACTTAGCGACTTTATAGGGTCATTTGCATATTCAAATGAAGTCATTTGCTCTATATTAAATATCTCAAACTGTTAATCAGCATAAGGTAAACTTATTTCCGCTAAGTTGTTTATGTTATACAGGAAAATAATAGGCTTATTCATTAAGTTGTGTACTTCCAAAGGCACCATTTCATTAATGACTGTGGCTATTGTCGACGGAATATAATATGTTTCATTTTTTATCGGTGGTGTAAGTATTTCAATGCCATCAGCTATATTTGTATTGAAATAACATACTTGAATTGAGTTGCTTGAAATCTCAAAATTTTTATTTTCGAAATCTGTTCTATATTGAAACGGAATTCTTTTATTATTAGAAAGAAGCATGTTAGAAAAATCTATATTTAAATTATTTTCTTGTAATGCTTTGATTCCAATAATTCCATTAAAATAGTCATGGAAATTGTACATTATCATTTCAATGTTGTTTTGAATATTATATTCTTGTAAAATTGGGAAACTAATTTTTCCTTGCGTTTTTCTTGTACCCATGCAAGTAGTTAACTTGTTTCATGAATTAATTATAGAATTTGAAAAATATTCCTTTGCGATTGAGGGTCTTATTAAAGAGGCATGACTTCCTGTGTCGTATAATAATTTACACGGTGGATAGTCTATTTGAATAAGAGGCAGTTGGTTGATTTGATGAGCATTTGAAGTTAATGCTGACTTATTGCATCCAAGGCTTGTAGCTAAGAATTTTCGTCTTCAGTTTCGACTTGATTTTCTTCAAAATTTGTCTCTTCATAATAGTTATGATTTTCAGAACATTTTTCAGTTTCGAAATTTTTGGCAGGGTCAGGTAATTCGATTTCAAAGATTAATTTCTTCGATTGTATATTTGGAAGGGTATTGATGTTGATTTTGTGCTCGTGGTTGCACTGAAACTTCGGACATAGGTGTCGGTTTCGAAAATTGTTGATTCGTGTTCTTTCGAAAGGCATTATTATAATTTTTGCCAAAAGTTCCTAAACTAGTTGGAAATTTTGTTGGTACATAGTCCTTTTTAGGTGTTATATTAATATGTTGGGATGGAAACTGTGGTTTCTGTGGTACATAGGATGATTTTTGTCACAAATAGGGTACGTACTGAATATTGCTTTTGCAGGAATTGGTTTTGTTTAATTAATAAAATAACGTCGGCGAATTTGTAAACAAGGAAGTTTTATTCCACTTCGTGCTTAACCGGCAACTTCTCTCTACCATAATTATTACTTTGGAGGACACTATATTTTCACTATAATTTTGAATTTCTGGAATGTTCAAATTAAAAACAGAAGCATAATTTTCTCATTTACACCTAATTTCTATAATTACTGCATGTGTGCAATGTGCAATTCAATTGTGTAATTAACACCAAATAACCTTTCTTCATTTATTTATATCACAAATTTGGCAAATCACAATTTTTTAACACTTTTTAATTACTGTTTCTGATAAACAGGTTTTTTACTAGGTACCAATTACAGCATACATATACCAAGGAAACATATTACTTCTAGTATCATTACAATCATCACATGAAACAAGAAAAATTACTATGTCGCTACTAATTTTTAGTTTTTGGATATTTATATTATTTTATGTGATCTTCTTTTATGTTAATAGGAAAATATTCAAGTTTGCTTGGAATAATAAGGGTTTTTTTTTGCCGATTTTGCCTGTGATCGGTACGACGTGGATTAGTTTAATAACTGGGAAAAAGCGTAAGTAGATATTTTTCCTTGAAATTATCTCCTAGTCCCTATATATTTTGTCTTTTTTTCTTCTATAATAACATTTTCAATTGGAAAATCATAAAGTACTTGTCACCTGGAGTTTTCTTTGAGTGGTTGGTAATTTTCAGATAAGATGAACAAGTTCATAAGCTAATCTACTTTCCAAATATGTATATACCTCTACCTATAACTTTTATATATTTTAGCAAGTTTACTAGCTATTGCTAATTGGATTTATGAGTACATAGGAGGACCATCAATAAATTTCTGGATTGGCCATACCTATCACTATGTAACATTGGATGCTGATGAGATAAGAATTGTTTTAAGCCACCCAAAATGTTTGGACAAATCCAGTATATACAATGATGTACAAAATGTTTTTGGGAAAAACAGCATTGCTTTTATTGCACGTAAGTTGATTTTACTAATAAATTTATGTTTGGAAATTTTCACCAGAAGTTTTCCTTGATCCTAAAAAGAATTAAATACAAGCTCTTTAGTTATTCTTTCCAGGATCAAGAAACTTGTGGTGAAAATTTTCATTGAAGTGAATTCTCGAATGTAATACCACAAGAGGTTACAGGATTACTGGATAATACTTTTACCTGTGACGAAACGCGTTACGCGTTGAGTATCAGGTAAAAGTATTAGGTAATCCTGAAACATCGAGTGGTATTTAATAGTAGATTATACCACGAGACAATAATGATAGCTATTATTCCCGAGGATTATTACGAACTGAGCCGCGTTAGCGGCGAGGGAGTAACATTCCGAGGGAATAATAGCCATTATTGCGAGTAGTATACTCTGCTTTATTTACGACAAATTAATTTATTTGAGATTTTCAATGAACAAATTTCATCCGTCTCATAATTTTCAATACAAATCCACAAGCACTACACGTTTGACACTGACACTTTTGTGGAATAATGACCATTAATCCCGCTACTCGTCATTAATCCCTGGAGGAATAACATATGTCATTATACTGCCAAAATCACAAATATAATACGCACATTATACATTAGTCGTAAATAAAAGGTTATACAACGAACTAAACTTTAATGCTTACAAAATTTTTAAAAAAATCTATAATAGAAATTGTCATAAATGCCACCAAGCGCGATAATCCCAAAAGGCTTATCACTTTTTAAGCGGCATTAAGCCTCTCGTGTCATATGGAAATAATGTACAGTGAGTTGTAATATGACCAAAAAAATACAAGCTTATATTATAAATCTACCTCAAACATATAGATAATTTTCTTATGCCTTCTTCAGATGGAATAACTACTAATATGATAAGTTAGAATATACATTACAGTATTGTGATAAGACCTCTATCAATTTTTTTGAAAGTATGTAGTACAACCGGTCTAATGGGGTGGGTAATAAACCGTCTTTGTGTAATTTTATCAAAAAATAAAGATTGGGTGCTTGAGGATTAATTGGGTAGGTAAGTACTATTGAATTTTGTTTTTCAAAATCATCAAAAATTGAATGTAGGTACTTTGATACTCATCTTTATCTTTTTTTGGTAATGGTTTTGTTGGATCAAAATTTATTTTATAAACATTGTTGGAGTCTAAGAATTCTAAAATTTTCTGATTACCTATATTGGTCTTTACGTAGGTGTGGCTACAACAGAGTTTCCCTTTTTTTCTGATGGATGTTTTTTAACAGTTTGAGAAACCGAATGTTTCTCAGAGTTGTCAATACCATCAAGGGCAAGTTCACATTCAACTCCGAGATATTCTCTTAGTTGTTGGTTATATTCGGGAACAAGGTTGTATTTAAATTTTTTATTTAGAAGATGACTTTCTTCTCTAGAGAAATCGACATCCTTCAAATTTACACGTTCAAAAAAACCTATGTTCACTAAACCTAGTGGTAGTGGTATGTATATTAAATGAATATATTTTAACTAAGCCTATTAGTTTAGTTATTCTGTGTGAAGAAGGCACCGTGTGCCGAAACATGTTACGGTTTCATTTAAAAAAACTTATTGTGGAAATCTAGAAACCTTCTTTGTAATGGATTTCGATGGAGTATCGGCTAAATCAATTTCTCATACTTACGTGGTACATTCATTATGAAACCAATATGATTTTAATGGTCTAATAATAAAGAATAGCAATCCAGACATGAAATAATTATTAAAATTGCACCTAACTGTATTCTGTAGTTATAGGTGATCGATTAATAATTACAATAATTACTACTAAAATTTAAATTCAAATTAGTCTTTCCAGCACTCTCGACTTTGAACTTGTTTAGCATATTATCTATAATTTGACTGAATTGAATTTTTCGTAATTATTGATTTTTGGACCATTTAACTTTTAGCGTGTTGGCGCTTTTTTTAATAGACCTTTTCTCTCGGAAAACAATTCTAGTAGGAAGTGAACTGATTCCTAGAATATCTCAATAACCTATACATATCATTGAATTCACGATTGCAAAGGAAAACAACAAACAACTCTATAGTCCCTAACATTCGTCAATGTCCAATACCCAGAGAAAAGCATCGAATCGTCTGTCCAGAAAAAAACCAACATTTACGAAACTTGGCCTGCATTACGAATTCCACCATTCTTCCGAAATTCTTTCACAATAAGGTGTACTCAATCAAATTCCTTTATACATCATAACAGCCTTTGCAATGTGTAGTGAAAAGCACCAACTAAACATAGAAGTTCATAATAACGAAACGAACCTAGAGAACGGTACTCAAGCACGGCATAAGACCAAAGCCGTTGTGGAACCACCAGAATTCTGTAATAACAACTAAATTCAGTTATTTTCTTATCTCAAAAGGATTTAGGCGAAAAATAAACAAATTCAGGCCAACGAATAACTCACTAACAGCAAACGTGAAAACTATACATATAGCAGAAACATAGAGACATTACCCTTGCGCTCATGAATTTTTATTTTCCAAAACAAAAAATTGGTTTTGTGTATAATATCAACTCTGATTTTTTAATGAATTTATGGAATAAAATTTTTTTCCGTATGGTGGGCCAATTTTTTTGTTTCTGAATGTACACATTTGTGGACATTGGAAGTCAATGGTATACAAGATAGACTAAACAAAACCACTATTTTGTATGATATATTAAAAAACAGTTGCTCTTTTCTGTGAGACAAAGGTGAACATTACATTTTGGACACAAAATTCTAGATCTTCCTTTACACCCTGGTACTTTGCACCTAGATGCAAAGTCTTTTTCGTCAATTGTTGGCAAATGGTCTAGCCTGTCTAACCGAACTTCAGTCACTGGTCGAATTTCTGGCCTTAGTTTCAAAACTTTTAGTGTTGGAGGACCTTGACTATCGGCTGCTGGACAGAAGTTTTTCCGGCCAAGATTAGAACTTCAGCAACATAGGCTCTGAAGTGAAGTAAATCTAAAATATCTTTCTTGGGAACACCCAAGGTAACAGCTTTATTTTTATATTCTTACCAGCTATATTTACGCATGCCATGTCTATGGTATGGGCAAACAATCTCCAATTAAATTTTTAGATGTTCGATACAATGTAATAAGGAAGTCCATTTTATCAACACCTCCCATGTGAGAGTTGTAATTATTTATTACTTGTGGTCTTGGAACATGAATATATTTTATTTCGAAAAATAATTATCATAATATAACTGGACCCTGAGTTGTGTGATTCTTTCGGATAATTTTAGTACCACTCCAGCTCCCGAACCGAATACTTCAAGTTGCTGTGGGTGGAGTTCAGTAGTAGATCCTTGCTTGATATATAATAAAATCATACAAGGTGCCACTGCTACCACACAGCGCAAAAATCTTAATACCCCATAGTTTGGGTTTGTTTTTGACATTGTTTGACGTTCAAACATCCCTTGAACGGCACCATTTGCTCGTTCGTCCACACACAATTTTGTTTCCAATGGAAGGGAGAGACATCTTATTCTAATTGCATCATATAATGGACGTACCTTCCAAAATCTGTCACTGTTGTTCAACAAAGTGAACATGTTGTCGCAATTTATAGAACCTGTTGATCGGCATATTATTGGAAATCAATGGAATCTCTAATTTATGGTCCCAGTAGAACTTAATTCTTGGGTAATGTAGATTGCCCATGATGATGTGCATTCCTACAAACGTTTTCAGTTCTTCCACCGTCGTAGGAGCAAAGCGAGTTTGCTGTTGAACAGCATAGAGATTTGTATGTTCCATCATAGTTTGAAAAACATAATCTGTAAAATATTTACAGAAAAACAATGCTGGACTTCCTAACTCAACGACTGCCTCTTCTTCTCTAATGTGCCACTTTATTTGTGGGGTGATATACACATTTTGTCGCCACGTTATATCGGTTTTCTTTGTGAGATCATTGTTCCTCAAATACTCGTCTATATTGGCTTTCTTCGACTTTTGTGGCTTTTTTGCAGATGTGCTAGGAACAGGTTCAACTCCGGATTGTTCCAGCTGTTCCACCTCTTCAGGTTGAGGTTCAGCTCCAAGTTATTCCAGCTGTTCAGCTTCTTCAACTTCTTCCACCTCTTCAGGTTGAGGTTCAGCTCCAAGTTGTTCCAGCTGTTCAGCTTCTTCAACTTCTTCCACTTCTTCCACCTCATCAATCATTAGCACTTCCGGTAATTCTGCAAGGTAGAAATATGTGTTATGTTACATACAATATCTAATAAACATTAGCGACAAGATAGTATACCTTCAACATCAGAATTTCTCTCAAAACCATCACCGTCACTGAGTCCTTCAATGTCTGATAATCCGGTCAATATTAATTCTAATAGTTGATTATCTGTTAGCGGGCGATTTCGACTCATTATGAACCAGGATTCTATAATATTTAACTGTCTACCAATATAATAAAGAAAAAAGTGAGATCAAGTTTACCTTGTTATTTTTTCTACTGACATTTCATAATACGCTATTAAACGATTAAAATCTGTATCATAATGAACTTCATTATGATACAGATTTTCATTATAATACAGATTTTTAATATTATACAATGTGGATAGATGGCACCACCAATTAAGATATTAAACATTTTAAACGGTAATTTTGCGTAAAATAATTATTTTGATAACTACAAAAAAGACTTCGAATTGTTTAAAAGTTACCTAAAGTTTGGGACAAAGAATAATTATTATGGAAATAATGAGTGATAAGGAAGAATTTTTACTTTTTTCATTATTATACATTGTCAATAGATGGCGCCACCAGTAAAGAAATTTTTACTTATTTTTTTTTTGAATGTTGACAGCACTCTGTTTATAGCTTTTCCATGGTAATTTAGCGAAAAACAATAATTTTATGAAAAAAAAATACTTTGAATTTTATTAATAGTTACCTAATCTTTGGAATAAGGCATTATTATGGAAATATTGAGTGATAACGAAGAATTTTCACTAACACCTCCAGAAATTACAGAAAGGGCGATAATTGCAAGTAATAATATACTACCGGACAAGTCCAAGAAAATTTACGAAAAATTATATAAACAATTTATGGATTGGAAAGACCAAAAACACATCGTCCTTCTCAGAAAATGTTTTGATAGTATATTTTGAAGAATTACAACAAAAAACGAAACCTTCAACTGTATGGATTACTCAATTATAAAATCTCTATTCAAAGTTAAGCATAATGTTGACATATCTAAATATCATAAGTTTTATCAATGGCAGTAGAAAAAATAGTGTATGCAACTCTCATGTAATGGCCATTAATACACTCGCATGTTATATACGAAACTCGCCTGCGGCTCGTTTCGTATCCTACAACATGCTCGTGTATTAATGGCTATCATTACATGATCATTGCATAATATACTATTATTCCACTCACTCTCAGTGTGCACAAATATGTACGTGGGTGGCCCTAAGGACAAAAACAAAATACTTCCAGACAAAAAACCGCAAATGTCACTGTTTGTACTCATAAAACCACCTTTTATTAGTTTGTTTTTTATTTTTTCCAAACTATTTCCACCACAAAAAAACTGCCAGGAAAATCCAGGAAAATTGTAGGCGGTGCTCAATTTATGTATGTCAGCTGTTGAAACACTAGAAAAAAACTTCGATAAAAAACCCCTAGATGGAGACCTAGTAATTTATTTTAAAAATATGACGTACACAAATGTGGACACCATGAACACTTAAAAATTGATGTACCTATACAAATATGTACACAGTGAGCGAAAGGGTCATAGAACTAGAAGTAGGCATATTGAAAGAAGAGGCGATAAGTTCTGAAGTCGCATATCAAGCACGCACAAACCGGAGTAGGTTGGTAACAAACATGAGTTATAAGAAAATTACTACCTACTTGAAAAGGAGGTGGTTTAGATATAGAATCTAGAGGCGGCATCGCTGCCTAAATGTCACTGCGATCCATAAGATCCATTGTGACCCTCCTTTTGTCTAGAGCAATTAATATAACACACAACCCAACATGGATAATTTCTGTTATTGAGTGAAATTGGAACGACCTGTGTGGATATATCCACGTAGAACATTATAACACAATAATTTGTGAAAATGATATATTGTGGTGAAAATTTAATAAAGCATAAATAATTTCCATCAAGTAATGGCTAACTCGGTAGAATATGGAATTAATGAAATAGATAACAAACTTAATGAACACTGCAAAACGAGTGCTAATTATTTGTTTATTAATATACGTATTACTAACTTATTCATAAAAAAAACTTACAATAATTTCTACATGAAAAATAAAAACCCTAATTCAAAATTTCAGCAATTAAGATTATCAATGTTTCTTCATGAACAACAACTTTCATTTCGAAAGTTCCCATTTACATATAATGGTTTATTTAAATCAGAACAATTACTATTTTCGGATTCCTGGCCAACAAACACAATTATTATTTAATTCTTATTAGATTCGTTACTATAGCCCTTAAACTTCAATTTGGACAATCCAATTCAAATTTTTTTAGTAATTCCTACTCAAAATCGATACTTGTTAAGTGCATTATAAATTCCCCTTTTAATTGTTTGCAAAATTAATTAAAATGTCATTATACTCGAAGGCAAATAAATTTATGCAATAATGTTCCATAGTCAAATCACTCGAGTTATTAGATATTATTTATGCAATAAAGTTCCAAAGTTAATTCACTTCATAGCCATTCATCATTTATAAAGTCAAAGAGTTTTACTAGTCACAAGAGTACTTACATTTAACTTTTCACACGTAAAATTACTTGATTTAATTTACTTCAAAAATCTGTAGAACACGCACATAATGTTGAACGACTAAAGATTCTTTTTCTACAACTGTCAAAAAATTATGATATTCGCACACTCATGACAGTTTGCGAAGTGGCACTTTTTTTCCCAGGTATTGATTTTCTAACGTTCCCATGACGCCGTGCGCGAACTAGCTATTTCGCGCACGTGTGCGCGAAATAGCTAGTTCGCACACTGGGTGTCATGGTGACACATACCTGTCAGGAAGTCAAAAATAATTAAAATTCACCTTTGATTGAAAATGCAATTTTGGCTTCGAATGATTGATATTTAAATGGAGTTGTAGAAAAAATATTGTTTACAACTCGGGCGCGAAATACTGGTGATCTCGACTATTTTTTTAACTCGGCTGCGCCTCGTTAAAAAAATCAGATCTCGATCACCAAAGTAGCATTTCGCGCCCTTGATGCAAAAATAACTATTCTTTCACAATTTTCCGTTACTTTTCAAAGACTTTTTCCGAGTCAATAAAAGGATCTTTCGCGAATTTTACTCGGACTGACACATTAGGTACTGTAGACTTTAACTGAAACTGGACTGAACCAACAACTCAACTGACATCTGCCGATCTCAATTGAAACCGCTGTATTTATATTATTCGATCCCCCCAAAATTTCTTTATCCATCACAATTGAGAGGATGATGCAATCTCCTTTTTTATTTGTTTAAAATCGAATAATTATGTCGCAATTTTCTGATTTATAGGGGTCAAAAACTTTAGTTTAAGAATGTGAGGGCAACACAAAGAAAACCGTCAGCACGTGGGGCCATAAATCACGTATTTAATTACCTTGGTCTCGCTTTTATTATTTTTAAGAATTTTGATTTAGATAATGACACAGGCTGGGTGACGAAATAATATAATTTCGAACGTATTTGGGGTCAACGTTAATTTGTTTCATTTTCAATTGACGTATCTCGTAATACCTGGTGTGCGCGCGCAACTCGTGGGTTGCAGGTGAGCGTCCAATGAAAATTGAGTTTGTTACGGGCTTGCGTCATATTCGTATTCAGGCACGAGATCAGAATAAATCGTTCCTTCTTTCTTTGTAACCTGTAATTCGACAAAGAGTAAACTACTACTTTACGTATTACTTGAACTTATCGCAGTGTCGTTTAAGGTTATGTTAGATTATACTTGACATATTCCTTTGCAATTTCATTGTGCGATGTTGCCGGATGAAACATTTATCAAAATAAAAGTACCATCGATGTTGACATACACTTTAAAGCTCTTATTTTGTCTGATTTAAGGCGTCGTAAACCACTTGACAATATATCACTTCTTTAATGTTATAATGTTCGATTTGTATTGTCTACATTTGTTCTGCAACAATACAATCTGGCTACACTACAGCCACGAGTTGCGCGCGCATGTAATTTTTTATTACTTTCTAACTTGTATTTATTACAATTAAGCTCTCTTTTTCTATTCCTGCGAGACACGTCAATTTATTGATACTGATTTGAAATACAGGAAATTCAGTTTTTGATTATTTGATTACCTTTAATTTTGACAGTAAAGACATTGTAATTATCGGGTCTATTTTCCGGATTATTACAAAGTAAATGAAAGCTTCTTTATTTTCTCTATTCGTGTTTTTGCAACAGATAACCCAAATTTGTTACGATTCTCGATTTAACGTTGATTCTGTGAATCTTCCGTTGGTGGATTTTGTATGCAATATTCTAATAAAAATTAGAATTATTAATTTTAGAGGAAAAATGGAAAGCAAGAAGAAAACATTTTATAAAAGGCTTCAAACCCATTATTTTGAGAAGTTTTATGGGCAAATTTCATAACTATAGTTGCAAATTGCTAGAAGAACTTGAAGGATTGAATGGTGCTTTAGTATCATTCGATGTCATGCACACGTTCGTTTTTACAACGTTTTGTGGTAAGAAAAAATGCCTTGCATGATTATTTTGTTAAATATTCTGCTTTTTAGCTACTGCCCTTGGATTGGATGTAAATAAATTTGCTAATGAACTAGCAGAATTTGGAAATTTAAGAGCAAAGTGAGTGGTAAGCGGTTATCAATTGAAATAGTATATTTTAAACAAGTTCTGACGTTATTATGATGGTTGCGATTGCAAATATACAAGCACTGTGACGTCATTTGCACAAACTGAGTTCGCCAGCTGGCGCTCAGCGCGCGTTTGCTCATGGTTGCTGCATATGTTAGGTTTGTTCCAACACGTGAAAAACTGTCCCATGAACGGTTTCGAAACCACTCTGTATAGGAATTTCGGGTTCTACACACACATTTTTTGCTTTGCCCAGAATCGTGACAGTACATTGTACGGTTTCTCGATGTGTTGGGACAAAGCTATTATCGACACTATTGTTTTTGCGTTCTCACACCTATCTTTGCGTCAGTTAAAATAGGTCTTGCTTTATTTAGGCGAATGTTTCTCTTCAATTTCTGAATTCAAGTTGTATTTTAAGGTTACCCCCTTTAATCCTAACGGAGTAAAGTCTGTTTTTTTTTTTTTTAAGATAATTCCCCAAGTCAAAAATTTAGTACCTAACTATGTTGGCAACACAAGCTTTTTCTACATAAAAAATTTCGAGCATTGACAATTTTACGTTGTATTGCCAACATAATGTAATTTTGACTTTTATCTTTAAAAAAAAACAGACTTTATGCATAAAATAAAAAAAATCCAAGAATCGCAGGCCAATCAGAAACTTCTCCATAGCACGTTTCCGGCGCTTCTGCAAGGCCAGCAGTTTCAAGATAGTGTTTTCCTCATCCTACGTATTCGTTATAAACCTATGGATTTATAATGTATCACTTTTTTCTTGAAGGGATTTTTTTTTAAATGTTCCTCGCATTTCGCGTTTTTTTTTGACATTCGATTTTTTTTTTTTTTCTATTTCATTCGTCAAAATTATGGCAATTACCGCGTTTTCTGATTACAGCTATGGCACTTGTTCTGGGAATTGGTGAACTGAACTCCATAATTTTGCCCGGTGTTGACTTTATCTATTTTTACCACACTTGCGCCACGGAAGAATTTTCTAAATGTTCTTTGTTCTCAATTAACCAATTTTTTGTAGAATTGAAGAAGCTTTAACTGCAAAAGTCCTAAACCCATTAATTCCATATTCAATATGGATAAATTTCTTTCCGAATGGCAGAAAAACTGCCGTCTATATGAAAAGAAGCAACACAATTATAGAAAAAATTATTAGAGAGCGAAAAACCGAGTTAGAAAAAAATCAAGGTAGGTATGTTTTCTAAATCATAGTTAACTGATACTAAATATGTATCTATATATTTTTAGACTATATAGCAAATAGTAATGAAGTGCCTTTGTTAGACTTAATTCTTAGCAATGACCAAAAAATGACGACCGATGAACAAATATTTGAAGAATTGGTTTTATTTACTAGTGCAGTATGAAATACTTATACTTTTTTTTTAGTTGAAATTTGAAGAATTTTTGTTTCAGGCAGTTGAAAGCACTTCTTTTGTATTATACCTTGGCTTCACCATTTTGGCAATGCATCCAGATATTCAAGTAGGTGATACAATTCTTGAGTCAAATTCGTTTTGAAATACCTAGACTTTTAGGAAGTTCTTCTTAACGAAGTAATCACAGAAATTGGTGATAGAGACATTTCATCTAATAATATTGGCTACCTTAAGTATACCGAAGCAACTCTTTGTGAAATAATGAGGTTTCTACCAGTTGTGCCTTTCATAGCACGGATTACAGGAGACGACATTGATGTAGGTAAGAAAACGATGACTCCCCATGCTTTTTATTTGTTTTTTATATTTGGATAATTGCAGGAAATAAAGTTATTCCCAAAGGAGTAGATTTCGTAGTGGACATTTGGCATCTTCACAGGGTTCCAGAGTACTGGAAGAATCCAGAAAAATTCGATCCAACAAGATTTTTACCAGAAAATCTAGACAAAATTAAACCATGTAGTTATATGCCATTTTCTCAAGGACCTAGAGATTGTATAGGTAAAACCACATAAAACGTTATTAACTTTTAGAAATGCGAAGTTTTACTATTGATTGGCATACTCAGATTCTCAAAATCATTTTCAATTCAGTTCGTGTACTACAACCATTACTGAAAAATCATCAGAAGCCGCCGCATTCAATTTTGTTCCGGGCTTCGAAAAAAAAAATGTACCTACTTCTAAGTTTGTATAAATGGTACGGTACTATGTACTTACATTATGTAAAATTTCACTAGCTCGTTATAGTGGATTGTTTTCTAAATGTATTAAATTTGACACAAAAGTGTACACTGACTGAAACTTTCGAGTTTTTTTCCTCTATTAGCCAAAGGAGTATGACACAATGTTCTGCAAACGATGGAGAAATGTGAGATTGAGATAACATTTCTGGTAAACTGGGGTTTGATGTTTTCTATGCAAAAAAAGTGATCCATTGTGACAATTTTTAAATTAGAGCCCTAATGTTGCTGCTATGATAGAATATATGCTAGAATAACACTTCACCACAATATTTTGTATGCAAAATAAAGAAAAAAGTACATACCTATTAAAATATAATGTTAGATCAAGATCAAAGAAGTTAGGTTCTGCTGAATATTGTATACTTTTCATTATTGATGAAAATTTCCTTATTTAATTTTCAGGAAAACATCATGCAATGGCGCTACTAAAGATAACCTTTGCAAACGTTATAAGAAATTTCAAGATCACTACAAGGCACAAATCTGTTGATGAATTTGATTTAGGTTCGGCGGTCACATTATATTCGGCAAAACCTATAGATCTACATTTTGTTACGAGAACCAAATCCTCGACAAAATCTCAATAGAACTGTAGATAGGACAGAAATTGCCTCATCTTTGCTAAAATGAGATTGGATTTTTATAAAATTTAAGTACCTAACTTATATTATGAGTTTACTGTTGACTATGTCTTGCTTTTGCTTATGAAATATCAAAGCCTAAACTATACTTTTGGAACCAAATATTATACCAAGATGTGAGGTTTTAAAGTAATATTTTCTAGAGTAGGTACAATGGTACAAAAATATGATAACATAAAAATACGTTTATATTGAAATATATTTCAATTGTTCCTTTCTACCTTTGCGACGATATTTCTCCAATAGAAGAGGAGTATAGTTATCAATTTGAAATTCAAATCAGAATCAGTAACAGTGTCTTATGAGTTCATATAAGTTATTTTAATAAAGTAATACTAAAAATAGAGATCTTTGTTTTTAAATTAACCTAATTAAAGAATATTAATAAATTATGATTGGATCTGGGAGATAATAAATGCTTCATAGAAGTCCTAAAAACTCTTTATAATGACTGCCTCTCTATATAAAGTACACCAGAAATACCAAAATAACACAAATAGGAAACTATCGACCTATCAGTCTGTTATCTCATTTATATGAGCTCTGTATGAGGGAAATTACTAACAGAATGGGATTTGAGCTAGTTTTTCATCAACTACTAGAGCAAGTTGGATTTAAAAGTGGCTTTAGAACAAATGACCACCTTACAGGGTGCAGTATATTGACCATAGGTACACAGCCCTTCTTCAAAATATATATAACTTTGCGCAAGAAATAGTATTATTGGAATTTTTGAGAGATTTTTTTTTGTGTGACAAATCCGCTTCGAGTAGGAGTTCCGTAAAATCCGTTCTTAGTGGGGGTCTACGTCGAGAAAAGAGTATATACTTCAAATTTCGAGTTAATCGGACGTATAGTTTTGGAGATCTCGTAATGAGTGAGTGAGTGAATGAATCAGTGGTAGTTCCAGATATTAGCACGCAAACAAACTCTTCAGCTTTATTATATTTAAATTTTTATATTTTTTGATAAAAAAATTTGAATTTCTATATTTTTTAGTAAAAAACAGGTACGTCAATTGAATGCGCCGCCAACTTGAATAAATGTGGCAACGTTGTTTGATGTTGATGTTAAAAAAAAAAGTTGAACAGTGCGTTCGAAAACACACCAGATGAAATTTACTCTTCTGAGAGTCAGTTTCTCAATAGCGAGTCAAGTCCGGATTGTTTTTGGCTCCAGGGCAAACGTGTCTAGTTGCAATGTTTACCCTGGAGTTATTTTAACCCGGAGGTGACTTACTATTGAGAAACCGGTCCTGATTACGTGATCATATACCCATTCTCACCCTTGGGTACAATTTACCCCTTTTTCGAACGTACTCCAAAAGTTGGGTCGTGTATGGGAATGTGTTGGTAACTAATTAACAATTAGTTTATTTTTTCAATCTTGTTCTTTTTTATGAAAAGACTCTTGGAAATATATGTACAAAATTTCATGATGATCGGTTTCGTAGTTTACTCGGGAAAGCGTAGCAAATAAACAAACAAACAAACTCATTTTCGCATTTATCATATTAGTTAGGATAATGCAACAGCTGCAGTCAGAATGTATCATGAAGATGCCAACTAATCCCCCTTGGAGAAATGTATTAAACAAAGAGACACTGTGAGACCCCAAATTCAGAAACTTGGCAATATGTTAAATTGGCGAGCGGTGACTCTAGTTTCTGAGTGGAGACACAGTTTAAAGTGGGTCCTATTTGCGGGTAGAGAGTAAAACACAGAAATATTTAGGTCAATTAAAATAAAGTTTATTTTATTAAAATAAATAATGCTTGTTATTAATTAACAGGCGTCGGTATTAAATAATCTTACAATAAATTTGTTGGATTTTTAATAAGCATCAATTAACTGTTAAGGAAAATTTATATGATTCCAAGTAAAAATTTGTATTTACAGTTTGACTCGATTACTCTCTTGCCTTTACAAATTCTGGCTGAACATAAAAAAACTCCACTTACATTTAACAATAATATATTTACAGCTGGCCAAACCTAATTACATGAAAATCTTATTGGTCGAAAGAATTTACTTTAATTATGAACACTAATAAAAAAAAATCGAATATTTTCGCGCTGTTATTTCACGTCGTGCTTCTTTTCTCGGTTAATTCGACAACTTTTTCACGCCGTAGTTCTGACTATCTGGACACAGGTCTCTCGATTCTCGATTACTACTTGTTTCTTGATTACTCAACCGACACTGGTCTTTGACGCCGTAGTTCTGACGGTTTACTCGTTCTTTCTCGAACACTGGATTTCTCGAACACTGATTTTCTCCTGCTAAAGTTGCCTTTTTATATCATTGTCCCTCCATTCTCTTGAATCCCTTTATTCTTTCTGACCTCGATTTTTCGTGTTGAATCATCCGATCAATTAGTGTATTTGGTCCCCTTTTAATTAATTATCAAGGGCGTCGCTAAGTGGTTTGTTAAGTGGGTATCATCATATAGGCTCGTGCATGATTTATTGATCCTTTTAGAAATTTTTCGGCTCCTTTGGAATGTTAATTGTTGAAAGCACCTAAAAAAAAAGTCTATGAACTTTTGCTTTAGTCACATTCCAATGTATTAGACAATATAGAGTATCGGCCCTTAAAAATTTCTGGATATCGATGTTCAGATAATTTTTAATTGAAGTTTCTGGTTGTGCTCTCTAAGTGATGATCTCTCCTAGTATGGTTGTTTGATAAGTCCTTGTTATTCTTGGGTAATTTTCGGTAGTTGAAACCTAAAGTGCGTTTTTTTTTTAAATATAATTCCCCAAGTCAAAAATTTAGTAACTATGTTGGCAACACAAGCCTTTTCTACATAAAAAATTTGAAAGCATTGACAATTTTACATTGTATTGCCAACATAATGTCAGTTTGACTTTTATCTTTAAACAAAAAACAGATTTTAGGTCTTTAGTTGTTTAGAATAATCAGAACCTTTAATTGTTGTCTTGGTGGTTCATTTCCGCGTCACTACAACATCATCTCTCCTGAACTATTCACTGCTTTGTTACAATCACATCAATGGAGAGCATTTAAATAGTAGTAAGCATGGTTTATTGTCAAAAGATACAGTAATCCTTATCGACAAAGCTAAGCCTTAAATCTAAGACACCTAATTATAATGCTTGTTGTTACAGTAAATAGGGTAAACTTGCACCTTTTTTCGTGAAAATCAAAAAAAAAAAAAGTTGCCATTTGTCCAAAGGTGCCCCAGGGTGGGGCAGTTTTGGACACGCATGGGGCATGGGGTAAATCCGGACATATACTTTATAAACAGTTTATTTTTTGACAGGTATATTTTAAATAATTTAGCATCTATCTAAACATCAAAACTTAAAGTCTAAAGGAACTCTAACATACAAACCTATGAACCTATGAACTTTGGCACTAGCCTACAAAAATAAATAATAGAAAAATAACAAAAATAAATAATGACAAAAAAACGCAAATTAATAGTATATTATATACCTAGGTAGAGAAGTTGGTAATAATGACTATCTCTACCGAGGAATAAATAAAAAAAAAATTCTGCGATTGACAAGAAATGTCAGCATTTTTGACCGGTTGACAGGTCGCAAAACTCAATATTCTGGTATTTTAATTATGTTTCAATAGTTGCTAAGAAATCAATAAATAACAATACCGGAATCACTTTTCCGGCCTATGTGTGTGTGTGTGTAATAATGTGGCCACATAAATATGTACTTAGAGTCCAATAATTTTAATCAGTAACTGCAAATGTATTCGAATACAATGAAAATACCCGGGTTTAACAAATATATTTGAGTATAAAAGCATGTACGCAGGTATTTTGAAATGTACTCTACAATTAAAAGTACCGAGTATTTTTATCTTAAGCTGTTCGAGTACAGTACAAGTACAAGTACATGATACAAAAAGTATCTTGGCCTGAGTACCGAGTAACTTAAAATGTACTTAGAGTACAAGTGAAGAGTACTGTACCCGAGTACCGCACAGCTCTAAGTTACCTTATGTATAATTATTTTATTAGCTCGTTATAGTGACACTTGAATGTTAATTTATTAAAAAACAATCCGTGGTTCAATTCATTTTATTGCCGAATTATATGCCAAGAAGTTGAAAGGTGTGCCATGCTATGGATTTTCTCTAACATGTACTAAATTTGACACAAAAGTACACACTCACTGAAACTTCCGAGCCTTTTTCCTTCATTAGCCCAAGGAGTATGATGAAATTTTTTGCAAACGATGGAGAAATATGAGATTGAGATAATATTCTCTGGTAAACTGTGATGTGGTGTTTTCTATTCAAAAAAAGTTAGCCACTATGACGATTTTCAAATTTAAGCTCTAATGTTGTTGCTATGATAGACTGTGATAGAACAACATCTCACCATAATATTTTGTATGCAAAATAAGAAAAATTACCTACCTATCAAATTAAAATGTAAGATCAAAGAACTTACTGTTGGATATTGTAAACTTTTCAATATTGAAAATTTCCTTATTTAATTTTCAGGAAAGCATCATGCAATGGCGCTACTAAAGAACCTATGCAAACGTAATAAGAAATTTCAAGACGGTTACAAAGCACAAATCTTTTGATGAATTCGATTTAAGTTCGGCGGTCACATTATATTCGCAAAAACCTATAGATCTACATTTTGTTGCAAGAACAAAAACTTCGACAAAATCTTAATAGAACTGTAAATGGGACAGAAATTATCCTATTTGTATAAAATTTAAGTACCTACCTAAATTATTTTATGAATTTAGTGTTAATTTTGTTTTACTTGTGAAATATCAAAGGACGATATTCCTCTAGTCTAATAGAAGAGGATTTATCAATTTAAAATTAAAATGAAAATCGGTAAGTGTCTTATAGTTCCTATTAGTTGTAGTCAACCATCCAAGGACCATTTTTTTCAGTTATACATGTAAACCCCATACTTTGTGAGTGGCTTGCTTACATCAAGTCCTACAACTTTTCCTCTACGACTTTTCTCGGAAATGGCACGTATGCGCGCAGGCGACTCGCAAACATTTTAGGGGTATCGGACTCCCCCAATTTGCCATTATTTTTGTCGGCCAAGTTGATTTCCGTGATTTAGAAATAAAAATCAAACATTATTCGTGAAATTAGATTTTCATGTATCAAGAAACATAACCACGTCAGATCGACATTTTGGGGGTATCGGACTCCCCCAATTTGCCATTATTTTTGTCGGCCAAGTTGACTTCCGTGATTTAGACATAAAAATCAAACAGTATTCGTAAAATTAGATTTACCTACATGTATCAGGAAACATAGCTACGTCAGATCGACATGTTTGCGAGTCGCCTGCGCGCATACGTGCCTTTTCCGAGAAAAGTCGTAGAGGAAAAGTTGTAGGACTTGATGTAAGCAAGCCACTCACAAAGTATGGGGTTTACATGTATAACTGAAAAAAAAGGTCCTTGGATGGTTGACTATTGTCTTAATAAAATAATACTAAAAATACCTATGTACTTATTTAAATTAATAAAAAGGATAATAAATTGATTGATTATTGAAATTGAAAAATAACTAAAATACATACTTATTAATAATAAAAATATAATGAAACAGTAAAGTACAAGACTAATTAATTAGTTTTTTGTTTCTTGGATCTTTTTCTCTGTTGTTCTCTGTTTCTGAAAAACACCTTCTCGAATACGAACGTAATGAACCATAATACTGATAAAACAATTAACAAAATAGCTCCTAAAACATCAACCATAAAATACTTGTACCATGGTAAATTTTTACCAGCAACGCTCAAATGTGGCGCTCCTCTATGCCTGGCAACATATTCCACCCAATAAACAGCCGTTTCCATAGGCGTCATGGGTCTATCATGGAAAAGGTTTGATCTCAATTTAGCATTTTCCTTGTATTTTGGATTGCGTAGTAATTCATTGATTTTTTCAGCCAAACTTTGCTCAGTAAAATTTGGGTCATTGTATGATAATTTTAAGCCAAAACCACTTGCTACTGCCCTATCGGCGTTGGAGTCTTGATCCCCAAAAACTGGAATTGCCAGAACTGGTACTCCATGGTATATGGTTTCGGTTGTACTTAAAAGTCCTCCGTGAGTTATGAAGAGTTTTATACTTGGGTGTGCTGAAAACAAACAAAATGTAATACGATTAAAATAAATACTTTTTCTGGATCCCTTTTACCCAAAACGTCTTGTTGAGGTAACCATGTTTGAATCATTATGTTTGCAGGTGTGCCGGGTAAATCTTCCTCAAACTTCCACAAAACTTTTTCCTTTAATTTTCCAAGGACGTTTACAATAAGTTGTTTTCGTTCTGAAGCCATATCCTTACTTCTCAAATTTGAGCCCATGCTAAAGTAAACTACTCCATCCTTAGCATTGTCCAAATACTCTTGCAATTCTTTTGGTAATTTTTTAGGAGGATCAATAAAATAACCTCCAATCTCCACCATATTCGGTACTATTGGTAATGCTGGATAAATACTTGTATGTGAGTTTAATAACACCAAAGAAACATTTGTATATAGTTCACTTATAGGTGGCGAATTTGGGAAAGCTTGAAGCATATATTCTTCATGAGAAGGAAGCACATACAGAGTAGTGAGAAGATAGTCCGCAAAAAACATAAACAAATTTTTCGCTCTATTAATAAATGAGAGATCTTTGGAAAAATCACCCAATAATAGATGAGGAGCATAAGAAACAGGCTGCGGATTTCCAACAGTAGGGTTTACCCAAGCATTCGGCCCCATACTACTTAAAGTTATCAAGGGACAATTGTAAAAGTGAGCAAAAGCTTTTAGACCGTCATTGTTAAATTGTTCTTGAATGACCAAGTCGAATTTTTGATTAGACTTTAACAATTTTTGAACTTTTGGGTGGTGAATGGTGTTGTTAGAGTAATCGACAAACATTTTCGTCATCATTTTGATCATATCTATAAGCCCTTGATCCCCAATGTTGAACATATTATTGGTGGTTCTCGAGTCTGGAAAAAAATTATTGTTTGTTATACATTATATTTATTGTGTGTGTATTGTATTTTGTGTTTTTAAAATGAAATAAGGATATAAAATACTCCTCGTCTTTCATTATTGTTTGCACTTAGCTTAGACTTAATTGTGGCAATGGAACGGACCATAAGGAAGTTTTATTTTTCTACTTGTAAAAAATCTTCAATTTTGGTCGAAAACATAAGGCGATTTCGCCCCAGATATTCATCTGCTGTTTGGTAGGCGAATGGTTAACCAATTGGTACGTAAGTAAGCACGAATTCAGTGGATAGGGCGTTTGGTACATTTTGACTTTGACATGTTTATTTGGACATAAGAGAAAAAGAAACAGAAAGCTACCAAACCTCCACTACCCAGTCAAGTCGCGGTATAGCATCTGACAGACCAAAGGGCCTACCAAAGTTGTTGTGACGGCATCATTCACCAATCCGAAATTTAGACTGTGAGATAGGGGCTGTTTAGTGGAGTCATTTTTTTTGTCTGGCATTTTGAGGGTTGAATTTGGCTACTAAGCTGATGAGAATATGGGTGATTTTAATGCCGGCCACCCTTTCGAAAATTTGCAAAAGAAAAAAATTGATTCACATGAAGATTTTTAATGATCTCAAATTTTCTGGCTTTTAAATAAAAGATTGACATTGATAAATAATTCACCCATGAAAAATATCAGATGCTTTTTAATAGCTGAAAAAATGGGGATGGGTGTTAAATTCCAAGAGAAAAGAAAAGAAACTTCCGCGTTTCCTTTTTGTCTGGCGATCGAGAGAATGAAAGGTTTTGTTGTGAAAATAACGCTAAAAAATCGCCAGACGGTAATCACAGTTCGAAATCGAGTTTTCCGGCGAAACTTTCTGTGGACATTTCGAACAGGAGGCAGGCATTAAAACCACTCAGGGCCAGGGGGGGGGGCATTGGGGGGCAATGCCCTATCTTTTAAATGATGATGCCCTACCTTTAAAAATCAACATACAACAGGTTTCTTTAAAAAATTTAAGAGTAGATGATGCCTGGGGCCCAATTCTGGTCGCAGGGAGAGGAGAGCTCCCAGAGAGAACGGATTTTTTGTTCTTGTCAACGTAATCGAAAAGTGAACGAGAATGATAAAGACGAAAAATTTGTTCTCTCGGAGAGCTCTCCTCTCCCTGAGACGAGAATCGGGCCCCTGAAGTAGATAGGCCTGAAATCGATTAAGCGAGGATGAATGTTTCCGAAAATGCCTAAATCTAATGAACAATGTTTGATTGAAGGTTGTTTGATAAAGGCGAGAGAGGAAGGATGCCTGGGCTGGAACTCTGTGACGAATAGAGATATTTTCTCTATCCCTATTGACGTTCCCTCTCTATTGATTTCGAGAAGAGAGAAGAAGACAGCAAGTGCCATAGCGATAGGGATATAACGATCTCTATACGTTACAGAGTCCCAGCCCTGGCAACTTTATAACGTCATCTGATGTGACTCAACATAATGCAAATCTCTATAAGGTATCCCAGATCCGATGCATCATCCAGTTACCCATTACCCAACCCCAACCCATTACCATACAACCTGAACCTTGATTTATTGAAAAATTTGCCTTCGGCGCCATTAGCCCCATTTTGTTTACCTATTAAAAATTTAAGGGGGGGGGGCAAGTAGAGTATGCCCTATGTCAAATTTGTCATGACCTACCTTAAATTTGACTCTAGCTACGGCCCTGCTAACGAGCCACATTCATCCCTCAAAATGCCAGACAAAAAAAAATGACTCCATTAAACAGGCCCTATCTCAGGGTCTAATTGAATGGTACCTGTTTTACAGACCAAACTGGGGTACCAAACTCAGGCGAAATCGCCTATAATGTACATGTAGTTTCTCAAATTATGTAAAGTTTGTTTCACCGTTTGTACTTGCCACCAGCGTTTGCCTTCCTTATTTAACAAAGAAAAATTGACTGAAACAAATTAATGACGTCAAAAACGTTCGTCGATTTTTAAAACCAGCAGTTATTTATTTTGAAATTTGTCAAAAAAATCGATTTTTTCTCTGAATGAATAAAAGCGGCCTTTTAATGACACTTGGCAGGATCAAAAGTTGTATTTTTACTGCCTAGGCAGTAAAAGTGGACTTTTACTGCCTAGGCATTAAAAGTGACAGTGTCACAACGTTCCAGGTAATAATTTCACTCAATTTGATATTTGAATTTGATGGTGACAATGACAATTGTCAAAATAATTTAATTATTTGGATAATAATATTGAATGAAATAAATATAAAAAAGATGTCCATGTGTGAATTTGAACATTCGGAGAAAAAATTATATGTTTTACATGGCAGAAAAGCAGATTTAATGCCTCGGCTATGCCTCGCCGGTTATGAAACACCAGCCGTAAAACAATAGTTATTTATGTACCAAGGCTTGTAAGTGTTACTTTTTTGGCCGAGGATGCAGTTTGCAAGCCGAAGCCCGTAGGGTCGAGGTATGCAAGCATTTGAGGGCAAAAAAGTACACGCTACAAGTCGAGGTGCATATAATATTTTTTGTGCTACCAAGCGAAATCGAGTGTTTTTGTGACATTGTTTTGACAGAGATATGAACCAAGCAATTTTCACCTTTCGTATCAACACTTTTTTGACCCGGTCAAAATAGTATATTAAAGTATAAGTGGATATTTAATTACTAATATTTGTAGAATGCTGAATTCGTGCTTAACACTTATATTTTATATTTTATTTGACGTTATGTACAAGTACCTACTCCTGACAAATCAATAATTAAAAAGTTGACATTTAGACCTTTCTCGGACTGTAAGTGACACTTACAGTTCATGGACGTAGGTCAAAAAAGTCAACTTACAGAATGGGTATAAGCACAAAAATAACTATTGTCAAAAGACGGCGCGTCACGTTTTATTTCCACTTGCCTATTATTGTGTAAAATGCCTAGACGATATTCAGAAGGTGAGCAAAATATGATTTCAAGCCTTATTGCCTACTTTACAAAGGAGCGAGAGGCAGGAAAACCCCTGTTACCACTTAAGTGTGTTTTAGAGGTGAGTTTTTTTTTTTTAATTTGGTATCTGTATTCATATTGAAATTCAATATATGACTTTATTTCTTCGACTTGTGTAGAGAGTATCTGATGCCCTGGGAATTGAAATAACCACCGTTTAAAAGATCAATGCGCATGGGATCAGGAGTGATATGGATCATAAGGCATCCACAGCAGCTGCAATTCAGAGATTTCGTGGACGCCCTCTTTACAGGGTTCACGAGCACACCATTAGAAATAGAATATACGCAATATTTGCTATAGTTATTTAAAATAAACTTGATTTAATTCCATAAATTTGACAAAAAAAAAACAAATCCTTCCACAGGAGAACATGTCACATTAGTTTCACTCCAAACAAATTTGCTAAATCTTGACGATGTGGAAATTTCCAAAGCTTCCCTATGTAGAGGTTTACGAGCATTAATGTTTAAGTGGCGGAAAGATACTATATCCAATAGGAAGTATTTAATGGAACAGTCATACGTTGTTGAGAAAAGAGTTAGTTTTGAGGGCATATACAGATAATTTCAACCCGTTTTTTTGGATGAAACGTGGATATACAGGTTTCTTGGAAGGTTTAATTAAAAATGCATATAAATATTATATTTTAGTTGTATTAGCAAGGGAGCGTTTAGAAATAGTCGGCAACACGGTTCAAATAAAACTATTAAGAAGAAAAGTTCAGAAGGCGTCAGATACATTATTTTACATGCTGGATCAGACACAGGGTTCGCGGGCAAATGCGAGTCTCATTTTCAAATTTGGGTCCAAGTCCAGTGATTACCATGACGCTCTGAACCATTAATGCTGAAAATTTCGAAAAATGGTTCCAGGAACAATTACTCGCAAATTTAGAAGAGCCTTCTCTCATAGTGATGGATAACGCACCCTATACCATTCCAGGCTATTGGAGAAGATTCCAAACTCAAGTTGGTCTAAACAACTCCTTTTAAGATGGCTACAAGATAGAAATATCGAATACACCCGTGACAATAGATTTATGGAATATAGTTAAAAAGTCTCTACCAGAAAAAAAAATATATGTAAGCTTAGCAGTAGGTTGTATTTTTACTAGATGATAGATATTATTAAAATGTTATTTTTTCCCATTTAGACTTGATGAAACGGCGTTACAATATGGTCACCGAGTACTAAGGCTTCCACCTTATCATTGCCAATTTAATCCCATAGAAATGGTATGGTCAGAATGCAAGAGCTACTATGATTCCAGAATATGTTCAGTAACTTCAGTTACTGCCGATGCGGTTTTGACCACATGGAATGAAGCTCTCGAAAGAGTGATGTTTTTAAATTAACAATATTACCTTTTCTTCAGTGGTTCTCGATCATTTTCCTATAGGTGACCCCTGAGAAATGGACCCATTATTGTCGCATACGAATAACCTTATTCACTCAGACTCTTCAGATATATTCCCGATAATTATAAACTTGAATGGTTCAGATTCATCAGACTCTTGCAGTGATAACAAAAGTGTTTTGAATTTTTAGCGATTTTTATCTACAAGCGTTTAGTTATGACGTTTTTACATAACCATTTTCCTAGTATTTGAGTTACGTCATGAGACTCATAACACAACTAGTGGTGTTATAGACTAGGTTATGAATTCATAACACAGCTAGTGGTGTTATGGACGAGGTTATGAGTCTATAACACAACTATTTTTGGTAATTTGACAAATGTCAAAGGTAAACCTGTAAAGGTAAAATGAAGGTGTCTACCTTCACTATGCTTCACTATTAATGAACGAAAATAATTGGAAAAATATTCTTATTTTTCGCTTCGTAGATAAAACGTTGTACATCACACGTGCGTTTAAACATGACTACAAAACTCGTGTGATTAGAACGACTCGGTCTACGACCTCGTCGTTCTAATCCTTCACACTCGTTATTTCAATCATGCTCATAAACGCACTTGTAATG